GCAAAGCTGATTTTGATCTCCCGCAACTGGTTTCCCAATGATCTGGAGGATATCTGCTGCCCGCCGACTGCTTTCCCGGAGCCTCCTTTATGTCGGTTGGATGTTTATAATCTCCAACATCACCCAGACGACGTCTGCTACTGGTTAATTCTTTATCCACAATAGTTGGATTTGCAGTATCATCGGTACCAACCTCCATTAAGAGAGAATCAATAGCAATGATCTCAATAATCAGATGTGTTGCACCAAAAGTAAAATAAATAAATGTTTAGAAATAGCAAAATTCAGCTAAGTCAAACAGAAATTTCCTATACCAAAGATTTGATCACACTTGATATGCCATCCTCATCGTCCTTGTCCTAAGGGATGAGAGGTAGTGGAGGAGCATCAATAGCCTCTACACCTTGAAAATTTATTAGGTCAGGACTTCGGATGCATCCGAAGTCAAATAGTAGACCGCCACGTGTTAAGTTGGCCCCACAAATTTTAACACTCACCAATCTCAGTGTATTACGGTGGGTCCACATGACACGCGGCGCTCCATCATTGGACTCTAGACGTGGGAGACTGGATATGTTGAAGCACCGACAACTTTTGGACCAGTTTGACAATCAGGTATGACCTATCTCTCCACAGTCGAGGTCAACAAAGAGGCCAGTGGTACGTCCGATCAGTCTCGTCCTTCTGCTCGGTTCTTTTCTTGTTATTGATCATGGAGTCGGTAATACGATCCCAACCGAGCCACAGAATCAGGCATCATCCACTTTATCACTATCAACTTCCTCTTTTGACCTGTCATCCCTGCTCATCTATCTAATGGCCCTGCAGCATGCGACGTTGCTATAAAGGTCAGATTTTGGAGTTGATTCCTTCACTATGGTGAAAGGCTGAACTAAGACGGATATGGGAATGAAGCGACAAAGAAGATGAGAAAAACAAAGTTTTCATGTTGTATTTATAGCGATTGAGGGGTGCATGAATTCAGCGAGTGTAATATTGAATAACTAATTTATCATAAATGAAATTTATTATTATGCATTAAAATATCTCATTTTTATCACATCATAATTTTCAAGAAGCAAGAGAATCAAGGAACTAAATATGTATGCAAAAATTATGCTAGCATGAATCTCAAGAAGATCGGTCTAACAATCTATGAGAAAATATCCTAATCTCAACAGAGCCCACCAAAGAACATATTGAAAAGCTAGATATCTGATTGGTCCTAGCCAACCCAAGATTATTTAAATCACAAGAGTAGTTAAAGTACTATTAGCCGAAATGACTCATTCAAAGGACCATAAAAAGAGTCGTCCAAACCTGCCATCACGACGAAGTCAATCAGAGAGATTACCTAGTTCCCAAAGGCTATCATACTAGGATCATTCATCTGTCTCCCTCAATACCATTAGAAGAATACAATAGGTCTCAGTCATCTCACCAGGGTCCTCTCATCTAAGAGATGGATGCCATTTGGATCATGATGATTTATTCTCTGCTCGATGATTGACAGTTGGATCATGATGATTTATTCTCTGCTCGATGATTCGGCTTTATCTTGCGACAGAAGCACTTTCGGTGAAGATCGCGAGTCGACAAGTGGATTATGCATAACGATTAGTAAAATTTAACCAATCAGACCAGTCCCACTGATTCATAGCCAACAAGTTGATCGATAACATTTACAGATCCATCCGACTGGAGACACTGTTTTATCCAGCCGACCAATAAAGCTCAACGAACTCTTACTACGTCCTTCCGACCAAGCGAGAGGCCCTTGGCCCACAGGAACTGAATACTTACAATAGCATGCACTGTCCTTATTTAAGTTGGGGGCATAAATATATCTTCATATAACTTCATATGTTGTATCTGCTTTGTTTATAAATAAGGAATCATTTCATAAATAAAATCTTACACAATTCTCTCATTCTACTGTCATTGTTGTGCACCCCCCTCCCTCTCTCTCTCTCTCTGTTTCTTTATGCTCTTTTCCTAGTTGCAATTCACAAGACATATTTTGATTCAAAAATAAACCTTTTTTTATTGAATCGTTTCAAAGATAAATAAATAATTTTGAAAGAATAGTATTAGTGAAAAAAGTTAAAGGCACACTAGAAGTGTAGCTCAGTTTACCTTCAAGGGCTGCTTCGTAAGTATTAAAAAAATATACACTACATTTATTTTATATAAGCTTCTAAAATCCTAGTGTTTGACTGATATAAAAATAATGAAATATATTATAATGCATTTGCAGTTTATTTTTTAATTAAACTTCAATATATTTAAAATTTTTTGGATCTCGATGAATTCTAAATGCACCGCTTTATGTAAAGTGATAGCCTTTTGCTCGTCATAGCCTGTCGGTCGCCATCATCACCTATCACGTACTTTTAGCCCGTTGGCCAGCCACCACCCTAAATGGTATCCCCAATATGCCACCAACGTTGTCCAACCTCCATCACAGCTTAGTGCGAGAAACCAGTTGTAATTCGGCATCCACTGCCGCCCCCTTCCCGCAAATGTTGATGGGTCTATTTTATATAAAAAAAAAATATAAATTTTGCATTCATGTTAAGCTGATCCAATGCATTTCAAATAAAATACATTCATTTTGGAACAAATCATACACACACTTAATGAATTACTGAAATGATGTATGAATCTGCCTTCAGATAGTTCAGCAAATAATTCTCATCAAACTTCAAAATTCACAGAAGTCAAGGCAGCAAAGTGACCAGATTTTCACCACCAACACAAAACACATATCTAAAAAGAGACTCATTTTCTAGAGTTGTGCAATTTCAAGCAAAATCTTATTCAGCGACCGAGGCTTTGAGAAAAAAGGACTGTGGTCACTGCCTTTGATCTTGTAAACCCCATGAGGCGGATTCTTCTGTACCATCTCCTCTTGGATTTGTAGCCTAAGAATGTTGTCGTCGGAGGTGTGGATAAAAAACCGCCTCACATTCCCATAGTTCTCAGCTGTGAGCTTCATTTTCTCCATCATTGGCACAAGAGGAACAGCTCTCATGGACATTGAAGCCAGTGCTACATCCTGCAGCGTAATCAGAAACCCTCTTAGATTTTAAATGGAATTTTGGCTGTGAATTCATTTTGGAAGTTTTACTTACATACCCATCAATTCTTATGCTTCAATTTTAACATACTTTCTACCTTAACTATGCATGAGAATGTGTATTTCACTTCTTAAAAATTAAAATGCTAATATTTTTGATGTGATATGAAAGATTTGAATGTATCAATAGTAAAAATAAAGTTTGAAGTATTATATGTAAATGCATAAGAATTGGGAGGTATGCATGTAAATGTCCCTTTAAAAATGAACGTGTATTTCACTTTTTAAAAATTAAAATGCTAATATTTTTGACGTGATATGAAAGATTTGACTGTATCAATATTAAAAGTAAAGCTTGAAGTATTATATGTAAATGCATAAGAATTGGGAGGTATGCATGTAAATGCCCCTTTAAAAATGAATGGGGAATTCACATACTTACCCACAAAATTCACATGTATTCATGTATTTACTTTTGACATTTATAACACAGATCTCTCGTACGACACAAAACATAACATCATTTTAACTTTTAAAAGGTGAGTTGTACCTTTTCATGCATGGGTAAGGCAGTATGTTAAGACTTTAGTTTAGGTGTCACATATGTAATTCATAAGAATTGAATGGTAGACATGTAAAAGGTAAATTTTCCCGTTTTTTTTTTTTCTCACAATTAATAAAGCTAGAAAATAGATTATTTGAGGGTGTTAAAGACTAGATCTGCAATAAATTTATTGATATGAGTTGGGATCAAGACCTTGGGAGAACAGTGGTTGAAGTATAAGCATTTGATTTGGTCTTTTTCCAGCAGTAGAGCAGTTGGAGGCTTTTCTTTTCCATTGCCATATAAGAGGTTCTGAGACTCTTTCAGGAAAAGTTCAGCTGGTCCTAGCTGCAAATGATTACCATATGCAGTTGTAAGATCATGATGAAAATTCATTTAAAATATGATAATAATAATAATAATAATAATAGCAATAACTATGATAGTAATTTAAAATATGATAATAATAATAATAATAGCAATAACTATGATAGTAGGTAAAATTTTGAGGGGCATTTGCTTATACATTACACCCAATTCCGATATATTTACTTATGAAAACACCTAAACTCTGCTTTTTATTATTAAACCACATAATAATTTCATATAATGCCAAAATACCACTATTTTAATTTTTAAAAAATGAAACATATCTTTTTATTCATAAGTAGTGTGATATATATGTAAAAATTGATCAAGATTAGATATTATATACAAAAATACATAAGAATGGAGTTTTAAAACTGTTAGATTTTTTTGAGATTAGTATAATATACATTTTAATTTATGGTTAAAATGTTATATTCATCTTGAAGCAAAGCCAATGACTTTCAAATTCATCATGATAAACATAACTAAAAAAATCTTCATGTTAATAAGTTTTTATAAGCTCTATAATTTTGAAAAATTATAAATGACTCTGATGTGATTCACCCGCCTAAGTCGGGAGAAATTATTTTGTGCGTAGAACGCCTTTGCAGCGAGCCAATACAAGAAGAGAGGGATGAGCCAATACAAGAAGAGAGGGATCCCTCCCCTCTCCCTCTTCTGGCCGCTGATGCGTGCTACACACCTAATAATTTCTCCTAACTCAAGATAGAACACAAACAAGAAATTATATATTAAGATGAGACAAAGTCCTTACTACTATGTAATATTTTAAATTTTCGTCCCTCAATTATGTTTTTCCGGATGTGCATATAGAAATATTATAGTATTAGTTGCAGCAGAGCTGAATAAGCTATAAATTTTAACTCACCTCCTGAGCGAAGGGGTCAAAAGGCCTTTGGCCATTATTCACCATTGTTGCACAAAGAAATATAGCCTTTGATATCTTATTGGGATACTTCTCCATTGCTAATGATATAGTTGCCCCTCCACAGCTGTGCCCAACCAAAATAACCTGCTCAGATTCAGTTTTTCTGTTAAGAAGCTGATTTCCAGATTTGCCTATATATATATATATATATATATAACCGGAGGATATTATACGAGCCCCGGTCATCCCTCATGGGCCTAAGAATTCGAGTATCACTACACTCGGGAGGAATCGAACCTCAGATCAGATGACACTTACAACTGACAAGCAGATGCCGACCAACTGATCTGTGTAAGCGGTGTGTGTGGGGGTGTGTGTCTATATATATATATATAT